ACGGCCACGTGTTGCATTGGCAACTTATAATTATGTAAAACCTTTACTTGGTTTGTCCATGGGGTTTATATATCCCTTTCAATACCGGACTTTTGGCTAATTTTGCCTATTCTATTAGATAGGATTCCAATCGCCGATGAAAGGGTAAATTTGTGTTGTTTAGACCTGATATGCTATGCCCTCTGAATCTGGGATTTCTCGGTTATTTTGTAAATTTATTTCTTTTTGTAACTAAGATCTGATATGGCCCTACAAATAAGAATGTGAACATTTGTAACGTTTAAACATTATAACTATATTCTTCGTTAAGGATAAACAGGGAGGGAAAGCTCAACTTAACCTAGATGCGCAAACATGCCGTGCATGGGCGTGTTTATCCTACTTGAACGCATAAAGGGTGATACGGTCAAAATTTGGTCAATATCAACTTGACATATTTCTTTCAATTTTGCATTTAAAAAACCTGAACACCCCTCATTTTGAAGGTGTGTGTGTGTAGAATGTTGCTGTTGATTTTGGAATTCACTCTTCAGTTGTCAAAATGCCGTCCAAGCAAGAAGAGCAGCGTATCAAAATTTTGCTCGCGCATCGCGAAAATCCGAGCTACTCGCACGCAAATTTGGCAAAATCGCTAAAAGTTGCCAAATCAACCGTTACAAATGTAATTAAAGTGTTTGGGGAACGTTTGTCGACAGCCAGGAAGTCTGGATCGGGGGGAAATCGAAAACCGGAAGCCGCTGAGACGACAAAGAGAGTTGCCGGTAGTTTCAAGCGAAACCCTAACCTCTCTCTCCGAGATGCCGCAAATAAGCTGGGTGTATCGTCTACAACCGTGCATCGAGCCAAAAAACGAGCCGGACTATCGACTTACAAGAAGGTAGTGACTCCAAATCGCGATGATAAACAAAATACGACGGCCAAAGCGCGATCCCGGAGGCTGTACACGACGATGCTGACGAAGTTTGACTGCGTGGTAATGGACGACGAAACCTACGTCAAAGCCGACTACAAGCAGCTTCCGGGACAGGAGTTTTATACGGCAAAAGGAAGGGGAAAGGTAGCAGATGTTTTCAAGCACATGAAGCTGTCAAAGTTCGCAAAGAAATATCTGGTTTGGCAAGCCATCTGTACCTGTGGCTTGAAAAACAGCATTTTCATAGCTTCCGGGACTGTCAACCAAGAAATTTACGTGAAAGAGTGTTTGAATAAACGTCTGCTGCCTTTCCTGAAGAAACACGGTTGTTCCGTACTGTTTTGGTCGGATTTGGCATCTTGCCATTACGGTAAAAAGGCCATGGAGTGGTACGCCGCCAACAACGTGCAGGTGGTTCCCAAGGACAAGAACCCTCCCAACACGCCAGAGCTCCGCCCAATTGAGAAATACTGGGCTATTGTCAAGCGGAACCTAAAGAAGACCAAAAAAACTGCTAAGGGCGAGCAGCAGTTCAAGGCAAACTGGCTTTCTGCGGCGAAGAAGGTGGACAAGGTGGCTGTACAAAATCTGATGGCAGGGGTCAAGCGTAAGGCCCGGCAATTCGGATTTGGAAAAGCGGAAGCCTAACTGAATATTTTACCTGAATTTTATACTAATTGAACTTGAAAAAGAAATTTAATTTGATTTTTTAAATAAACGATTTCACCGATTTACACGCGTTTTCCCTTGACCAAATTTTGACCGTATCACCCTTTAAATATTCCTAAGCAAATACTGCAGTAAGATTATGTTAAACGAGCCTTCGTTCCTTTTTCCCTGCTTTTCATTTAATTTTTTTGGCTTTGGTATCTACGTCAGCTATGACTAGGCAAACGAGATGTATCTAAGTGGTTATTTTATGGTTTTGGTTTTACATTAATTGCCTCGCGGTAACATATGGACAGAATTAATTCTCTTCTTTTTTCTTCCATCGCGTGGCAATTCTAGAAAACGTGAACTTTTTTTTTTAACTTCTGCACAAGATTTCAAGAGAAAGACTTACTTACTTATCCTGGTCCGACATCCCTCAGGATTGCACCTGCATCACAATGTTACGCCAATTCACTCAGTCCGTGGCTGCTTGTCTCCAATTTCTCGACCGTCCCACACTTCCAAGATCCTGCTCCACTTGGTATAACCACCTTGCTCACTGTGCTCCTCTTCGTCTTGTTCCGGCCGGATTCGAGGCAAACACCATTTTTGCGGGATTGTTGTCCGGCATTCTTAAAACGTGTCCCGCCCATCGTACCCGTCCAGCTTTCGCAACTTTTTGGATACAGGGTTCGCCATAGAGTTGCGCCAGCTCGTGGTTCATCCTTCGCCTTCATACACCGTTCTCACATACTCCGCCAAAAATGGTCCCAAGCACTCGTCGTTCGAAAACACCCAATGCTGGCAGGTCCTCCTCGAGCATCGTCCACGTCTCGTGCCCGTAGAGAACTACCGGTCTTATCAGCGTCTTGTACATGGTACATTTAGTACGGAGGTGAAGTTTACCCGACCTCAGGGTCTTGTGGAGTCCGTAGTAAGCACGACTTCCGGCAATAAAACGCCGACGAATTTCTCTGCTGCGGTTGTTATCCGACGTCACCAATGATCCGAGGTACACAAATCATCCACCACCTCGAACTCATACCTTCTTGTCACGCTTCTGCCTATGCGAGCCCTAACCAGCTCGGTTCCTCCAGCTAACAGATACTTTGTCTTCGACGTATTTACCTTTAATCCAACCTTCATCCTGCTTCACGTTTCAGCCTGGTGTACTGCTCCGCCACGGCCTGAAACGTTCTTCCGACAATGACCACGTCGTCAGCGAAGCAGATTAACTGGCTAGACTTATTGCAGATCGTTCCCCGCATGTTAAAGCCCGCACGTTTCATAACACCTTCTAGCGCAATGTTGAACAGGAGGCAAGAAAGATCATCGCCTTGTCGAAGTCCTTTGCGAGTTTCAAACGAGTCCGATAACGCACCCGATATCTTCACGCAGCACTGTACACCATCCATCGTAGCCCTGATCAGTCTGGTCAGCTTCCCGGGAAAACCATTCTCGTCCATAATCTTTCATAGCTCTTCACGGTCAACAGTATCATAAGCGGCCTTGAAATCGATGAATAGGTGGTGCGTAAGGACTTGATATTCACGACACTGGAGGATCTGCCGCAATGTAAAGATTTGGTCCGTCGTCGATCGCCCGTCCACAAAACCGGCTTGATAACTTCCCATAAATCTGCTTGCTAGCGGCGATAAACGGCGAAAGATGATCTGGGAAAGCACTCTGTAGGCCGCGTTAAGAATAGTGATCGCTCGATAGTTCTCACATTCTAGTTTGCTGCCTTTTTTATATACTGAGAATATTACTCCCTCCTTCCACTCCTCCGGTAGCTGTTCTGAATCCCAGATCCTGGCTATCAGTCGGTGCAGACAAGTGGCCAACTTATCCGGGCCCATTTTGATAAGCTCCGCTCGGATACCATCTTTCCCAGCTGCTTTGTTGTTCTTAAGCTGTCGGATAGCATCCTTAACTTCACCTATCGTGGGAGCCATTCCTCCTGCCGCCTTGGTCCTCCGCCTCTGCGCCGTTCAGATGTTCATCGTAGAGCTACTTCCACCTTTCAATCACCTCACGTTCGTCCGTTAAGTTACCCCCTTCCTTATCTCGACACATTTCGGGTCACGGCACAAAGCCTTGGCGGGATGCGTTCAAGAGAAAGACATTGTAACCGAATTTCTGTCAAAAGCTTCCAGAACCGACTACTAGGAACGCTGTACCAGACAAAAAGAAGTGTACCGGTTTTAAATTAGCAGGGCTTAATTAAAGGGATCTTAACTATTTTTCCAAGCCTATAATAGTTTTGTTTTAATATTTTGGGGTATTTAATTTTTACCTAAGCCCTAGAATCTCGACAATTTGGCAGACTCTGGGTTCTTGCAATTTTTTTTATCTCCAAGTCCTCGCTCTGCAAATGTATGAACTTTTCCCATGCCATGTTCAGAGAAGTGTGTTCTATTGTGTTATTAGTTATTTTCGTGATTTAGCTAATTAGCAAATGAGCAGTTTGTGACCAAAACTGTATATGCCAAGCATGCCAGCCTTGATTCATTCCAGGCAGATATAAGTGCAGTGCATTTGATACGATTTTGAATGCTTTTCTAGTTACTTGGAAAGTCACACATAACACACATAACATGAAGATTAAAGCTGTCGCTAGCATAAATTATCAAACGTGATAAACTAGCCTACGGCTAAAAATTACGGTAATAAAGAAAAAAAAAATTATCAAAGTATTCGACTGAGGAAAGCTGGAATTTCGGTATTGTTTGAACTTTTGTTGCCTTCACCTGTGATTTCGTGAAACTGTACTACAAACTCAAAATATTAACACTTTTTTTTCTTAACTCTATTTTTCCTCCAGTGCATCCTTCGTTCGGTCTGCATCTACACGGTACACAAGGACGTTCGTTCCCTCGGTTGTTTTACGGTACTTCACTAACATTAGTTTGCAGCTCTCATGAATGAACATTTCATTCACACATCATCGCTAAGCTCGCTCACTACTTTTGGTGTCGTTGCGGTGTTTTTGAATACAATACACCGATTGAGCAACATTCGAGTGTATGATCGGCCACACGCACACCATTTTCCGTTAGCCATCAACATCACTCCTTGGTCGTCGAAGCAACGTGTGTAGTATATCGTACTCGTAGTGTAAACAACAACGCAACACCAATATCTCCGTATCCGTCGCACAGTGCAGCCAGTGTTGCCACATATACAGTTTTTTCTGGAATGGTACAGATTTTTAGACAATTTCCGACACAGAAATCTGTATTACAGATACAGATTTTAAAAATTCAGTTATATATAGATTTTTAGAAAAGATCTACAGATTGATACTGATTCTTGAAGCTGAAAATCTATAAATATATGTGGAGCTTAAAATACAGATGCAAAAAGTGGCATCACTGAGTGCAGCTGAAGCACACTGGTGTGGTGTGTTTAGTCTTCACTTCAGTGAGTGAGTGAGTGATTCTCCAGCAGCAGCAGCAGTAGCGGTTTCATCTCTGTGTTCAATTGTGTCCGAGCTATCGTTGCGAATAGACGTTACTGTTTGCTGATCGTACGGGTGGTTTTCCGTTTGTTTCCTTTCAATCGCAAACACTTTTGCTATTAATTTCGGCTTTTTATCGTCATTATCGGTGTTATTATTGTTATTAGTAGTTGGTGAGGTGTTTCGTTCAACTTGAACTTTGAATCGCAGCATTGTTTCTTTCTGCACGGAATAACAGAAGTTTTTTTTTTTGTTCGAATCTGTGTCTCGTATGATCCGATCTTTCATTCCATATTTCCGAGGAATTGGATAATTGATTAATGGTGGAGGTTGCCGGAGGAAGAAGACGGAAAATATTTCAAGTGCAGTGGATTTTTACGTCCGAAGGAGAAAAAGCTTTTTAACACATCAGTTTTCGGGCGTTTGACCATAATATCTCGTTTGCTGATCAGTTTGGAGGTGTTTGGTGCAGTGGTGAATCCGAAATTGTGTGTTTTTCATTGAGCAATTCACGGTTCAATAATAGAAGTGAGTGTGAGTGGAGAAAAAGAAGAGTGGATTACCGAAAGAGAAATTTTGCTGGTGAAGGAAAAAGCGAAGTTGAAACGTAATCAAAAAGGTGCTGTTTTTTTTGGTCTGTCTGTTTCGGAGGCTTTGTGTGAAGGCCTTTCGAGTGAATTTTCTGTGTGGAAAGTGTGCAAAAATTTACACCACTGCTCGATCGAGGAGGTACTACTCACCGAGAAGCAAGAGAGCGATCAACGAGCGGTGAAATACCAGAGCTGTCAAAATGAATAAATCCTGTGCCCGGTGTCAGAAGGTGGTTTATTCCATCGAGGAGCTCAAGTGCTTGGATAAGGTTAGTATGAGCTTTTGGCGACGAGTGGTAGCGTAATAATTGTTGAAATATGTTAGGAAACATCTGACAAAACCAGCGATCATCATCCGTCTACTGTTGATGTTCTGTGTTAATGTTTTTACCTAACCTTACGGGAAACGTCGGAACCAAGATGGAGGAGAATAATCTGTTGAATGTATGTCAGTGCTACCAGATTCAGTCGAATGTTCAGGTTTGGCAATGTGAACTTTGCTGTGCGGAAAGCAACGAACCTTTACTTAAGATTCCACTAAGAATAGGTATAAATTTCCCGTTGGGATGTTATAGCAAAAGATGAAGATAGGTTTAACAATTCGAACATCATTCTATAGTGTTCCATTCCTTGAATTTAGCATCAATTTCAAATCATTTCAAAATTGTTCTAGATTTCCTCCGGAAAATTTTATTATCTGTTTGGTCGTAAACTAGGAGAATTGATTGAATACACTTAAAATTGTTTACCTACTTTGGTGTTTTGTTACTGAGATCTCAACAGCCGAATGTTCGGTAGTTGTTTTATCTTAATACATTTAGATTTCTGAATTTTATCAGGCAGTTAAGCCGTTGAAGTTAAAGAACATAAAAAACTCCTTATAAGACATTCTACGTAACGTTATAACGGGTTTTGCCTGTTTTTGTGAGTTGCAGTTGTATTGTAACTGAAAAAAAATTAGCTTCTAAATACTCTTGCAGATTTGAAAAACTGCGTTAAATGAACGATAAGACTTGATCAAAAGATTTTGATTAGAGAAGCTCAAAACGTTTTGGTGAGTGGTTGTTGAGTATTTAAAGTAGTTCAGAAGAGCAAAACACTGTATCGTCACGCAACATAGTTGCTCATCAAATCATTTTGAGCTACTCAAATCATGAACTCTAGATCAATTCTTGTAGGATATTTATCACACTTTCCATGTCTGCAATAGTATTTGAGAATTACTTTTCATTTTTTTCAGTTACAGTACAAAATATGTCACAAAATCAACGAGAATACATCCTTGTAGAATGTGCCATAAGCATGTATTTCAAAGATTCTCTGTATTATCTGTCTAACACCAACCGGAAAAGAATCTCTTATGGTTTTGTATTAAAGCTATCAAACTTATCGAAATATGTAATAATTTATTGCATACAGATTGTACGATGTGGTTATTGGAATGGTTTCCAAAAAATTTTGATGAATACTCGTACACTTAAGAAATTCGATTGGTTATATTGATATTTCAACCTTACCGTTGGATATGCCAAAAAATCCAATTTTATTTACGATATTCCACGACATCAGCAATAGAATTTCATGCAAAAATGTTTTTCAAATTTTAAGAAGAGAAGCAGCGAGTAAATAAATTTGAGATTTACCTCTAAACAACGGTTAACGTTAACGGACGTTAGTTTAATCTATCAATTATTATTCACCCAATTTGGCAACACCGCACCAAAGAATCTCCAGTGAACTGAGATTGCATGTGTATAAGTGCAGAGACCTGTTGTTGGGTATACGTTCATCTTGATCTTCTACACCTTCGGGTGTTCGTCGTGTGTGACGTGAGTACATTTGGAATCCAGTTGCTGAACAGAATGATGTCACACTGATGCTCTTTTATCTTCTGTAGTAGGTACTTTAGTTGAGGTTCTACAGATTGAACCTTCTCACAAAACATCCACCCGTCTGTTGCTTTCTTCGGCTCTCGGGAACGGGATGGTGTTTATTTGCTTACTCAGAACGATCTCCGAATGAATCTGATCGTTTTATGCGCTTCTCATTTATTGCTCAGAACTTTGATATTACCCAGAACAGCAACTAATAATTGTAGATCGTTCAAATGTCGAAATGAACTCATTCGTGGTTGGCATTGGTTCTTTAGAATTGAAGAAAAAGAGTGGCGCAATTTGATCGTTAATCACTGTGGAATGCGGATGCCAGTTATTGAAGGTGGAACTAGTTGCGTTGTATCGGAGGTTCCTTTGCATTTTAGCCATGTACCGTATTCAACAAATTCTTAGCAGCAGGTCACGTAGTTTGAATTTTCGACGGTGATCGATGTTGATATTGGGGCAAGCTTTTTTTCTGTTGCAATCTGCCTTATGTTAAGGTACAATAAATTAGGAATGATAACGATTAGTCCAGTATTTTCCCGCAGTCAGCCAGTCGATGTGAGACGCGATAATTGTGGAGTCTTGTTTGCGACTCGAATGGATATCAAATCAGCAGCACCTCCATCGGCCAAACTGCACACTTATCATGTGACGTGCCTGATAAGATAAGACTGCTCGCTCCATCAGTCGTCGCGTTTGTTAGGGAGAAATTTATTTGACCGATGGTTCATTTCATCACATCGCGAAACGGTTTTTTCATTTGGTTACAAATAAGGGGATCAAAATTATTAATTTCGTTAGCGTGATCCAATTGACTCCTCAGAAGTCGAAAGGTCCTAAATGATTTCGACAGACTCTGTTTGTCAATTATTCCTCTTGATGATTTCAACTGTTGTGATTGACTCTTCGATGAGGCTTTTTTTGTGTGGAATAGCTTGCCGCAAGCTGAGAAAATTACCTGAAATACATTTACATTACTGTAATATTCCTAGAAATAATCTATAATAGGAATCGATGAAATCTAGTTAGAACCTTTTAAACTGTCTGTAATTATGGAAAATTAAAATACTAATCTGAATCTGAAATTAGGTCTTGCGTTTTATTTACTTCAACCAGAATTATTCTTTTGTGGAGCCTCCCTTAGCTCAGTCGGTAAAGGCGCAGCTATAAAGCAAGACCATGTTTGAGGTGGCTGGGTTCAATTCCCGGTCCGGTCTAGGAATTTTTCGGGTTGGAAAATTTCTCGACTTCCCTGGGCATAGAAGTATGATTGTACTTGCCACACAATAATATTAATGCAAAAATGGTACAGGCATCGAAAGCTTTCAATTAATAACTGTGGAAGTGCATCTAGAACACTAAGTTGAGAGCACGCTATAAGCTAATATTGCTAAAAAGCAATAAGCTTGAAATGCGAGGAAGAAGAAGAATTATACTTTTTGTAAGTCCAGACTCTCTTTTCCGTCCAGAAGGTTTTTCGTTGTTTTGAAAAAAAAAAAAATAAGTGCTTAAACAAAACATGTTCCATACAGCCAAAACATGATTGAATTGATTCTAATCAATAGTACTTAAATTGGTTTTCAATAGTTGAACAGTTGGAACAACAAGAAGAGATATTGGGGAAAATAATGAGCACATATACGAGCTAAATCGATTTTGACTATTTTATGGTGTATTGATCAACTTAAGCTTGTGGATCACCTGTGTGAAAAGGTTAACTAAGTTTGTGAAATTAACTGTCTACCCAAGCAAAGTCCAGCATCAAAATGACAACAAATTGAAATCAAGTTTTGATGTCAACATCAAAATGAATTCATAATATGATTTCAGTTTACGCAAATTTGATACCTAATTTTAATGTGCTCTTCAAAAATATGTTGTTGCGGGTTCGTTTTCATTGCCTTAGCATAACATCAAATTGAATACTTATTTTGTTATCAACAGGAAAAATGGATATCAAATTTAGTTTTCAGTTTGCTATCACTGATAGCAGAAATAGTTTTCAATGTGATGTCACAGAAAGATTTGTTTGCTCTCAATTTTGATATTTTAACCGTTAAAACGACCAAAACGACAGCAACCTGAGTAATCATTACTACTTGATTCCTTAACTAATATTTTTAAAGCTAGTTTAGTGCTTGGTCATATACCAAAAATATGGACCCACGTTCGTGTTGTCTTTATTCCTAAAGCAGGCAAAAAAGACAAAACAAATCCAAAATCGTTCAGACCAATAAGTCTTACATCTACCATGCTAAAAATCATGGAAAAGATAATAGACGAGTATATAAAATTAAATTTTTGTAAACGAGCCCCCTTAACAGGTCTCAATTTGTTTATCAATCAAACAAATCTACAGTCACAGCTTTACATAAACTGGTAACGAAAGTAGAAAAATACTCTTGACAAAAAAGAAATTGCTCTCGTAGCATTTCTCGATGTAGAGGGTGCTTTTGATAATACATCCTACAAATCTATAAAAAAAACTCAATGGAAAAAAGGAACGTTGATCCTTGCATTATAATTTGGATTATGAAAATGCTGAATAATAGAGAAGTATCGGCTGACTTGGGAGAATCATCAATAACAATAAAGACCACTAGGGGGTGTCCTCAAGGAGGTTTATTGTGACCCTTATTATGGTCACTTGTTGTTGATGATCTTCTCAATAAACTAGTGGATGCAGGCTTCGAAGTTATCGGGTTTGCTGATGACGTGGTCATAGTAGTTCGTGGAAAATTTGATCACATCATCACAGATAGAATGCAATCTGCGTTGAACTGCACATTTCAGTGGTGCCAAAATGAAGGGTTAAATCTAGACCAACAATTGAAATAAGCGGAACAACCAAACGTAAACAATGGCTTTAAATGCAAATTTCTCAAAAATCAATGACAATCCACGCAATCTAACACCAGCATCTGAAAGAGCAAACTTCCTTTATCGAATGACATTGTTAGTTTGCGTGGGTGTATTATGACTCTCGAGAATTTGCGTTTAAAGCCATTGTTTACGTTTGGTTGTTCCGCCTATTTCAACTGTTGGTCTAGAAATATAAACCCATCCAAAACAGTTTTGGTCCCGTTCACTCGCAGAAGACAAGTAACACTCTAAAGTTTGTCAATTAATGGATCTATTATAAAATACTCGTCAAACGTAAAGTATCTGGGAGTCATTCTAGATGATAAACTTAATTGGAACTTACACTTATAGCAAGTAATAATAAAAGCCACGAATGCTCTCTGGGTTAGTAAAAAAACATTTAGAAAAAAATGAGGACTTAATCCTAAAATGGTTCATTGGATCAACACGGTTATTGTAAGACCTAGAATAGTATATGCTTCATTGGTTTGGTGGCCTAAAACAAAGCAAAGCATGACCCAGTAAAA